TGTGAGGCTGGGCCGGGGGCGCCCCTTTCGCCACGCGCCCCGACTCCCCCACCTCCCAGGCTCCTTCCTCCCTCTCCCCTGGGCCTCGCTCCCCAGACACACACACTCCTGGGATTCCCTGGCCGCTCAGGCACCGCCAGGTCTCTCGGGACGTCGCCATCACTGCTCCTTAGCTGCCAAGTCCCACCCGGCCACTTCCGAGCTGACCGCCTTCAGGCCCTTCTCCCCTTGGCTGCCCGGAGCCCCGCCGGCCTCCTAATTCAGTATCTAGACCTTAGCATTCCCCGTATGCAGGGAGCACCAGGCAGCCGGCTCGGTGGAGCTGAACCTGGGAGGCCTCGGCCCAGGCCTCCAGCCCAGCGGCAATGGGCTGTGGTCCACAAGACCTGTGCATTCGCTCTTTTTAAATGTCTAAAATTCTGCTTAAAATTTGTCAATAAACAAGAGAATCAGGACCAAGGTGTGGTAGTCGTGCGTCATTACAGCCAGCCCTGCCCAGGCTCGGGGGATGCACTTCCTGCTTCTCCTCGCCCGGCCCCGAGGCGGTTACCGACCCATCTGCCTGTGGACACAACTGTCAGCCAGGCCCACTCAGGGAAGCACCTGGGTGCAGCGGTGCTGGCTAAGTGCCTGGTCACCTGGCTGGCTGGACACCACACAGGCATACTTCGGGGCAGGGGCCTTGAGACCAACAGTCCCTACACTCCAGAAGCTTAGGCCAGCAGGGAAGATGTGGTGGGAAGTAACAATAGCAAGCGATCCAGGCCATGAGGCCAACACGTGGTACGCGCACGGCGATCTGACACTGGGAGCGCCGCTGCTGGAGCCATTTGGGAAGCCTTCCTGAAGATGGCGATGCACAGATCGTCAGGGGCAAGTGGTATTTCCAAGGGCGAAGAGAAGGAAAGACGGTATTCCTGGCAGAAGCACAGTCGAGAAGGCGGAAAACAGCAATCCTCGGTGGATGAACTGGAAGGGGCCCCCACTGGCTAGAGTTAAGGGTTCGGGTAAGCGAAAGGTTGAAAATTAAGATGGTTTAAGAGCAGGTAATGGTATCAGAGACCAATTAGAAGGCCAGCAGGGGCCGGAGGTTAGAGGTTAGAGCTTAGAGGGGATGCAGGCTCTTACTAGGGAAATGGCAGAGGGGCTGAAAAAAAGCAACAACGTTGGATGACTCGCCAACAGTCAGCACATATGCCACCGGGAAGCATTTTCCCATGGCTATAGCCGAGGTGCAGGAGTGGAGGAAATGACCGGGGCTCCCCCAAGGGGCAGGTGACATGGCTACTGAATTGAGGCGGCGGGCCGGACCCTCCCTTTGCAGAGCACTGCACGCGGTTCCCCCTAATTAAGTGGCCGATGTGCCATGATCCAGTTCCACAGGCCAGCTGGGCCTTTACTGAGTCTGCGGGTATGGCTGGAGGTAAATCCCGAGGATTTAGCCAGGGGAGCTCGTAGGGCCCTGTGGACACACCTAATCCCACCTAGGCTGGTGCTTCGGCTTCTGTCTGTGGCCACTAAAAGGACGCTCGAAGCATCTGCAAAATGAAGGCTGGCAGGAGGGCAAAGGCGGAACACATCCGGCCTCTAAAGAGTAGCAGTGAGACCAGGTGTGTGTGGCAGGCTGGATGAAAGACCCAAGGACTCGTTCTGCTCTCGGCGCAGGTTGCGAATGAACAGACTTTGCTAACAAGTGAACTGCAGAAAACAGGTTTTTTTTATTTTGTAAACAATTACATTGCTCAGATAGCTTTGTTCAATGTCAAGGTCAAGTAAATTTTTGAAACACGTTTGTCTTTTCTTTCTTAATAGGTATAGCAGGTTCCACCTGCCAGTAGCCCGTTTTGAACTACTGCCTTTAAAATGCACTCTCTTCTCAGCTTTACTCTCTTTATGGCAACTGACCACTCTTGAAATTTCATTTCTCTTGCATTTTGTTCTACACGTTAAAACTAGGAAGCCTAAGGAAGACCCGAGGTGGGTCTAGAGCACTTCCGAGTACTGGCAAGGGCACGAAATGCTTAGTAACAGATTCCTGGGTTAAAGAACAAACATCATTAAGAACATGAAACTTTACAAAACGACTTCTGTCGTTTGTAACTTTATAAAACAGGCACTTTTTTAAACTCCTTCAGCAGCAGAGGGCTCAGCGCGGGGGCACCCGGAGAGGACCTCAGTGGTTCTGCTGCTGCTGCCCCTGCTTCTCCTGCCCCTGCTTCTCCTGCCCCTGCTTCTCCAGCTCCTGCTGCTTCTGCTTCTCCTGCTCCTGCTTCTCCGGCTCCTGCTGCTCCTGGTTCTCCTGCTGCTCCTGCTTCTCTGGCTCCTGCTTCTCCGGCTCCTGCTTCTCCGGCTCCTGCTTCTCCGGCTCCTGCTTCTCCTGCTCCTGCTTCTGCTGCTGCTGCTGCTGCTGCTGCTGCTGCAGCAGGAGCTGCTGCTGCTTTTTGGCAGTGAAGTCACTGCCGAGCTTTATCATCACGTCCTTATGTTTTAGCCCCCCCAACTCTTCCTTAACCAGCCTGTAATTCTGCTGCACGTACTTAGCAAACGGTCTCACGTGGGGCTTGATGGGGGTTCCATCCTTCCGAGTTAACGGCACCATGAACAGGGGCCCCTTGCACTGGGCGCAGATGTAGCGGGTGGTGTCCAACGACTTGGTGTAGCGGCCAATCCTAAGGACGAAAGAGCGCACAGCGAAGGAATCAGTCCCTGTAACTCGGCCTCTTCCTCTGGCTGCTGGCCTTGGGCCTGGAGCCAGAGTTTTTGGGGGGTTCTCAGGGAGTGGGGTACCAAGCAGTGACAGTGGTCAGGCCGACTCAAAGGTTGGAGAAAGCGGGCGCGGAAGGGCTAGGGCGGTTTCTCTCAAGTCGGAGGGCCGTCTACTTCCCAATCGGATCACTGTGGAGCCGCTCGGAGGCCGCGGTGAGGACGGAAGGGGAAAAAGTGAGAGGGGACTTACCTGGACTTGCACCTCCCACATTCATAATAAATCTTGTAGTTGATCTTGTAGTTATGGCAACGGGTGACCATGGGCAGCTCTGGGTGCACCGTGTTACACTTCCTGGCGTAGTACTTCCATGTGTCACCATGAGAATCACGGAGGCCGTGGAGCATCCAGGAGGCCGCGTGGCATATTTCGTGGATGAAAGTATCCCGGACTCGATCTTGGAAGAGGAATGAAAAGAAACTGTGAACACTGGCACCGCATCCCTTCCGGTCTGCCACCCAAGCAGCCCGACGCCCGACCCCACCAGCCACCTGGGCGGCACACATGGGCAGGCGTGACAGTCATCTTCCCAGGATTCCCTAAGTGAAATTTCCATCCGCTCCAACCCGATTTGGTTCATGGCACAGAGCCTGGGGGGAAGCGAGTCTTTCTGGAGCAGCTCCAATGTGCTCATCTCTTTCGCAGGACGCTGCTAGAAAGGCAGCCAGCCAAGAGCTGGGTGCCGCCCCTCGGAACGGAAGGGACAGGGTCGGGGGAATCGGCGTGGCGTGGGAGTCGGTGAGAGGCACCGCACAGAAGCCGGGGTCTAAGCCGGGCCTTTCAGCACTAACTGGGTCTGCCATTCTGGGGGTACAGAACGTGCAGGAAGGCTGAGGCCGGGCGAACGCACGGTCCACGCTGCAAGCAGCATGTAGCGAGCCTCGCGGGGGCGGTGAGCCGGCCGGCTCCAGGCACTGGCAAGCCCTAGGCTTCTCAGCAGGAGCCTGAACGCAGCGGGGAGAAGGAATGATTGACATGGCAGTCATTATAAATATTTGGTTAGTGGCCAGATAGAGGGGACCTGGAACCTCGGTTCCTGAATGGAGATGTTGCTGCTGCCGGCGACAGCAGGCCTGCCCACCCAGGAACGACAGACTGAGCTGACACAGGCTGCCAGAGAATACCGGCACCTGAGTCACGGGACAGGCGCGGTGTCGGAGGGGGAAGGCACAGCGAGGAAGCTGCCGCGCTCCCGCCATTACCTGCGGAGTCGCAGACTTTCAGAGAAATCTCAATCTTAGCATAGGGCTTCCTGTCGGGCTGACTTAACTCGCCTGTGGTGCACAAGCCAGCGGTCCTCAGCATCTTCTTATTCCATCTGACATTGACCTTCTCCGGCATCTGAGAACAAGCAAGCGGTGAGTCAGAAAGCAGTTCTCGTCTCCGGCCATGCCACCCTGAACGCGCCCGATCCCGTCTGATCTCGGAAGCTAAGCAGGGTCGGGCCTGGTTAGTACTTGGATGGGAGACCGCCTAAGAAGGCGTGAAAAATAAAAAGTAGAAAATAAGGGACTGTAAGCTGACAAGGTCCTTGCAATCTGTGAGGTCGACCAAGGATTGCCTCGCCTAAAGAATTAAAAAAAAAAAATAGAAAAGAAAAAAAAGGAAAAGAAAAAGAAAGTTCTTAGCAGACCAGAAAATAGGAACTCAAGAGTTTTGCAAATCTAAACATTCTGGGGAGAATAAAACCCAAGTTGAAGGCCAGGCAGAGAGAGAGAATCAACAGGCCATCAGGACACAAGGGAGACTGCTGAGAGCCTGTGAGTGTAGGATCTGTGACCCCCAGCATGGAGACAGAAGTCAGCGGGTGAGGAGGGGCAGCCCAGGAGAGAGGCGCGAGCCAGCTGGGTTAGATGTGACCCGTGCACGGGGGTGGTGAGGCGGAACTGAAAACTCCAGGTTCCGCTCATCAGTCACCTGATCGCACACCATCGGGAACGGCGCCCAAGAACGGGGAACCTTTAGAAAGACATGAGAACTTCTCTGCAGAAAGTTCTGTCACCAGAGACAATCAAGTTGGAAAAACCTAACGACCGACAGGTCGCTCTGATCCAGTCCCCACCCCTGTGCTTCAGACACCTTAGTTTCTTTGGGTGGCCATTTCATGTCACCTCATGTCCCTGTGCGGTGGTGCCTACCGATTTCAATTTAAGCTCTTCCCACCTGATTCCCAGGGCCTCCAGTCCCTAGTCCTACGCGACCGCAAATCACAATAGCAACTAACATGTATTGCTGTCACAGGCCCTGTTCTAGGCACTTCGGGTATATTAACTTACCTAGGCCGAACAATAATCGTATGAAATAGTGGGTACTATTACTGTTTCCATTTTGTAGATGAGGAAACTGAGGCAAAGAGGGGTTAAGTGACTTGCCCAAGGGGACATAGCTCTTTCCCATTCTTCTTCCACACGAACCCTCTCCCTGGTCAAGCCTCACCACACGTCCTCTGCCCCTGTCACTGCGTGCTGTTCACGTACCAACCTCGAGAACCAGAGCGAGCCTCACTCCCTCCGGGCGACCCTGCTTCCTGACTGCTGGGGCTCCCAGCGGGCTCTCCCTCTGCTGCTCTCCTGAGGCCGTAACAGTCCGTAGCTCACACTGCGACCCCCGGGCCTGCTCTCACACACGCGCGTCTCGCCCCCTCGCCTAGACTGAGACCTCTCAAGGGCGGGAAATACGCCGAGTGCTGGGCCGTCGCGGGTGCTCAGTGAGGGCTTTTTCAGACTGTACCTTGTTATCAAAGACAGAGCTGTTAAACAGGGCGTAGATTCTCTGAACCAGTTCATCCTTATTACGCTTGAAATTCCTTCCAGAATAGCGCCGGGACTTTTCGACGTCACGCAAGAAACAGCCAGGTATGTTGCAGTCACAATTCCTGCAAAGGTAAATTCAATTGAGTCTCTTATGGCTAAAAAAATAAGTAGAAGAAATGCATACATACAGGTCATGTCAAGAGACTCGGAGAACTTGCTGGTCCCTCTTCCTTCCAGCTCCTTCCTCACATGAGGCCGTTTCCCAAGGTTCCGTTCAGAGCCTTTTCCTCTTCACTTTGCACATTCTCAGAGATGCGAAGCCCCCGGTTTCAACCTCGACGGCAGTGATCCCACACCTGTATCTTCAGTCTCCATCTCTCCCGAGATCTAGCTCTGAGTTTATAACTGCCCGATGCCAATTTCCGACTGACACGAGCGTGCCTCCAGCTCGGAGCTTAATCATCCAACTTGCCATACCAGGTGGAAGACCTCAGAGCCATTTAATTCATTTCTCCCTTACCCTGCAGTCAGTTAGGCACAGAGACAGACCATCTCCTTCCCATCGCCTCTTGCATCCAGCCCCTCCTTCCCACCCCACTGCACCCACCCTAGATCAAGTTCCTGTCCTCCCCTTTATGCAGGGACATTACGGTAACCCTGTGTTCCTCGCCTCGGAGTCTTTCTCTAAGGCAAACCCACACACGTACCTGCGGGTTAATTTTCCTAGGCCACATTCCAATTACGTCCCTCTCGGGCCTTTCACTGACTTCTTAGCCTGGCATCCGAGGCCCAGGTCAAGCTAGTCCTGACTTCTAGCTCCAGCTGCCATTCCCGCTGGCCAAAGTGGGAAGCTTAAACGCTCCCCAGCCACGAACTACCGCCTCCCACAGGTGATCCGTGCCTCGGTGCACCCTACTGCCCGTGGCCCGGACTGAGCATGCCTTCAGCTCTGCTGAGGACCGTCTGCGTAGCGCAGGGTCATTTGCTAAGATCGTTTTTTTTGCATTATCGTAGTTAATCCTCACGACCACTGTCCAAAGAAACCGCTGCCAGTCCCCTGACATCCACTATGCAGATAAGGAAGCCCGGTGGTTGTGATTTACCCCAAGCTCAGAGACATTGAATCTCCCGACCCGAATCTAATGGTCTTTCCATTAGACACTACTGCTGCCCTATCTTTCAAGGCCTAATTCAAATGCACAAAGAATAGTGCTGAGCACATGAAGGACTCACACTAGTAATCACGATTTATTGAAAGCAGTTTTTTTCTTATCTTGGCTGGAACAATCAAGGAGTCCAGAGAGATGAGCCACAGAGCTCGACAGATAGAAGAGGACACACGGGGGAGTGAGGCTGCCACTGCGCAGGACTCCTGAGACAGATGTGGCCAGGGTACTCATTAATCCTCAGGACACAAAATAAACACTACTTAGGTGAGGTGAGGTGGCTACAGTGGAGAGGGGAAAAGTACCAGATCAGGCAGATGCGGCCGTGGGTGACTGACATTTCTGCCTCAACTTCCTTAGCAAATTTGCATCAGAAAAGGTGGCAGGTGAAGACCGGAGCCGTGTGCAAACGGGCCTCGTGGCTTAGCACGCCTGCACCTCAGTGTCTGTGACACTGCACAGTGGGGTGAGCATCTCCGCATGGGAGGAATCCGCAAGACCCCAAATGGGCATATCAGACACCATGACCGGTCAGCAGCCTACACGGAGACGATGCTAGGCATGGCAGGAAGCCTACAGATTGAAACAGTACTAAGGTGACAGTGACAAAGGGACAGCTCCTCCCTTCTTTGGTCATACTCTAGCCAAGCCACCTGGGAGCTACCCAAAACACACGTTCCTATAGGTAAAGCAGCTTAAATGTGTAGCTGGCAATCCAGAGCACAAAAATACTGCCAGGGGCTGCATCTAACAGAACAAGCCAAACTGCTGTCTGCTGCCTCAGCGGCGAGGGGCGCAGAAGCGGCCCCTCTGCTCAGGTCTGGGTCGCTGTTGCCCAATGGCTGACACATCGCTCTCCTCCCCTCTAGATGCACTTATTGTCCTAAAACGCGAGCGAAACACTAAACACGCGGTCCTTCGAATACATTCCTTCTCTTGGAAGATAATTCAGATGTAAGTTTATCACTCCTGAATGCAGATCGAGACAAAGAAAGTATGCTGACTGCATCATATTCAGGGAAAAAAGAAAGAAGTTCCTAGAATCTAAATGAGAAAACGTATTAATGTATTAACGTCTTTGGTTTATACGGCCTGTTTTCAGTATTGATTATACGTACGTTAATAAAAATAAAGGAACTATAAGCAATATTTTTCACCTTAACGTTTAATGAAGCTTTAAAGTTTTGCAGAAATATATACAGGTAGTAAGAGTAACCAGCTTCATCCAAAGAACTAGAAAAACCCGGGTCTCGACTGTCCTCCCTCCGATTCCAGTGGATCTGAGCAACACGTCAGTGCTGCGTCCTCACCATTTCCACTGTTTGCTTTGCTTTAGTGCAAACTGGGGGATTCACGAGGCTGTGCCTACCCTGGAAAAAAGAGCATCTTGTTCGTGTACACATCTTAAAGACTAAAAGAGTTTCAGGGCAAAGGAAACCTTGGAAACCCAAGCTGCTGTGGAGGCAAAAGGGTTCCGGGGTGCCCGGGGAGGACAGGGGGCCTAGTGGAGTGGCTCGTGCCCAGCTCTGCTGGGGGAGGGGAAGAGGGGTGGAGGGGAGTGGCAGGGTGTCTGCTGGTTCAGGGATGGAAATCTTGTCCCCCACCCAACCCCCATACCTAGTGGACTGCTTAACGTGTGACAAGCATGCAACCAACTCCCGTTCAGCTGCACATGAGCAATACGTACCCATTATCAGATGCTCCAGAATCCTCCGTGACGGAACCCTTAGCTGCAGGCTCACACCCTTCTTCTCCTCTAGTAGCTGGAAAGAGAATAGTTTACTTGTACCCCCAAAATTGGTACCATCGAGCAACTGGCAGAAACCTGGGAGGTGCCCCACAGCATAGCCCAGAGCGACATCTACAAATGATAACTGTCTGTCTGAAGCCTGCAGACTGCACCATCGGTCAGCATGAAATATTTACTAACGGGATCCCCAAGCTGCCAGCAGAATGAGCCGGGCGGGACTGTGCCGTAGGTACCGAGGCCTCTGACGAGGCCAGGGCCAGTGTGCGGTACGGGGCAGGGCGCGGCATGGCTCATGCGCTTGCTGAGAGGGGCTCAGACCCTGGGCAGCACCTTCACGCAACATGCAAGCCCGATCTTTCCACCACGGTGCGGCACCCGTACTGCCAGGGGCTCTAGCCAGAGATCTGTGTGTCAGTACTTGTCATTCATTCATTCGTTCACTGAGAAAGTTAGTAAGCATCTGCTGTGTGCCAAATACAAAGAAAAGTGACATAGCCATGCGAGTGCTTCAGCAGAGGCAGGGTCTCAGAACCACGGGAACCCAGGTTCGGAGAACTCCGACTTACAGCTTCCTACCGGAAGTGCCAACCGGGCTGGGTCCTGAGGAAAAGTGGGGCATCCTCAGGACAAAAAGCGCAGGGAGGAAGCAGCCCCTGTGGGTGGAATGGCAGATGCCGGAACTTGGGCGTTCCTCCCCCAGTCCCAGAAAGACCCTCTTCGCCGCGATGGCCATCTCCCCTGGGCCACTATGGAGCTGCTGAAATGGTGTAGGGTTGGGAGACAGGACAGGCAGACCGGACGAGACAGACATACCTGGGGGAAAGGGCGAGGCTGGCCTGGCTGGCACGCTTGGGGGGCTAGGCACATTTGGGGGGACGAGCAAACTTGGCTTGATTGGCTTACCAGGTGTCGCACATGTATTTTTGGTTTTACACTTTCTTTTCCTTGGTTGTCCCATCATAGGTTCGAGTGCTTCGCCAGTTGATGTCTTTCCTTCAGAAACCGTCTTTTCCTCGGAGACCTCCGGTGTGGCCTCAGGATCAGCTGGTGCTTTTCCACCAAGCTGCTTCTCACCAGCATCATCAGCTGAACTGCTCTTGGAGACAGCAACCTCCTTCACCTCCTCTCCAACTGAGGCATCTTGCTCCTTGTCACACGAATCATCTAATATCATCACAGGGCCCTCTACGTCGCTGTCGTCGTCATCACTGATGACTATCGGAGGCTCCAGGATGGTAGGCTCCAGGACGGGAGGCTCGTCAGTGTCAGACAGCACTAAGATCTCATCTGAAATCCAAGGGACACGTTCACACATGAGTAGACGCCCTCCACCGCATGCCCCCATCCACCCAACTTCACATGACTGAGCACAGGTTAAGCAAGCCGGGAACTGTGACATGAATCGCGGTTAGGGATGTTATTTTAGATTATTTTCCCTATTACTTTTACTTTACAGACAACAGTGTCAGATAAAACAGCAATTCAAGTCCAGCGGTCATTTTCGAACCGCATTCTTTAAATAGCACGATGTGGGCGCCCGGCTGTTCCCAAACACAGGGCTGCAGAGTTTTATCTTCCCCGGTCCGCCAAGAAATAAGAGACATTAGAATAAAGAGGTTTTATTCCCTTCGAGTTCAATTTCTACGATTTAAAGGACTATCCTTTACTTTGAGATTATGTCCTCACTAAACTTTGGTGCTCTTTATGAAAGTCACGGTGATGGCAGATGGCAGTTGGAACGGAGTTCCGTCATTAAACAAGTTCAGAATTGGCAACTCTATGCTTGCCACCAAAATTTAATTTTCTAATGTGTCTTTAAGCGCAAAGCTCTCTGGACCGCTGATACAAGAGTGAGGAGTTAAGTCCTGACGTCAGGACTTAGAGGCCTTGGGGACATCTGGAATGTCACCGTCCTCACATGAAGGTCCCTTCACCTGGAAATAAGGGGTGCCATGTCTAACGCCACATGCTCTCTGGAGTCTGCTCAGAGCTGTTTCTACAACAGTGGATGTAAAATATATGAACCGTAGCATCGGCAAGATGTGAAACCATTTATGACGCAAAAACTTTATCCGAGAATCACAGGTTTGGGATAACAGATACCAAGAGCCTCATCTATTATTTGAATTCATTGTCAAAGAACTTGAGATACGCCTAAGGGAAGAGAAAGGAGTGGGTGTTCCTATGGTAAAAAGTCATTCTTCATAGAAAATTTAAAGATTTCCCGCCTGCAGGTGAAATTTAAAAAAAACAAACAAACAAAAAAAGTAGGGACGCACTGCTTACGATCTATAAAAAATGACCCTGGACATTGAAAAAGATGAGAAGTGAGGTTGGAAACATGTTAAAGCTCCTCGGGCCTTTCTTTTCTATAAAATTCTCCAAACTCATTCTAGCGACAAGGGAAATGCCACGTGGACAGTGACGGAGACAGTCCTGTGGGAGCACTGCTCATGTGTCCACCGGGGCGGCCTACAGTGATGAACTGCTTCCTGGCTGTCACTCATGCGCTACTCGTTACCCGCCAGCCCCCTCCCTGGGGGCTCTCCATTTGCATTCCGTCACCTGTACCTCTGTCCTGCTCAGGCTCATCCAATCAGAACAGGAGAAAAGGAGAGAGAGAAGAGATCAGAGGGGCCAGGTGGAGAAACAGGAGACCAGGGCTCTAAACACCTGTCCTTCCGCTGCTCTGATGTCACGGGCTCCCTGGGAAACCCTAGCCCAAGGCAGCTATGGGACACTAATCAAAGCGTAGCCAGTCCTCTAGGCGCCTTTGTACCCTGCCCTCCACCTTGTCCTAAGTGAACGAAGAGGCAGGAAACGGCGTCCCAGCGCTTAAGCACCTCGTCCTCCCACGTTTCACAGCCATCGAGCGGCTTCCAAGTTGGGAGCGGGGCTCTAGGCGGAAAGAGGGCGCAGTGGAAGGCAGACGAACAGCTGGACAGAGAAAGCGAGGGTGGCCCCGAGAAGCTGCCACCCAGCCAGGTCCCCGTCAGGCACAGAGAGCGATGCTGTGCCTCTCAGTCCTCTATCCTGTGTCACCCCTACGCACAGGAGGCAGAGAGCGGGACACCGTTAGAACAGTGTCTGGACACTGACCAGGGGGTGGCTGGCATCCGGCCACGTCCACAGCCGGCACAGCAGAGGGAGAGGCGGTTGGCGCTCACTCCCAAGCGACGCGGAGTACAACGCCACACGTCTCAGCCCGCAGCGCCACCCAGCCCGGTCGGCCGTGTATTCACCTTTGCTGCAGGTCTCGGAGAGCTTAGGTTTCTTCCCGGGTGGGACGAGGTCATCATCCGAGTCTGAGTCAATCACCACGCAGCTGAGTGACGAGACGGGGAAAACCAGAGAGACATGAGCAACATTCCTTTCGCGGCCTTTTCTACAATGAACACGATCGCTCGGAAGCGTTTTGCTGGTTCGCTTGGAGCAGCGGCTCCGTTCCCCCTCCGGAACTCCTCACTCGGTATTCCTGATTTCCTAGCTTTCTACTCAATCTTGCCACCTGTCTCAATCCTTTCAAAGGGCGGGATGTGCCAAGCGCTGAGAGTGAAATGGCCGTCAGAGGGGTCGGGGACGCGTCTGCTTACTGCCACTGTTCTCCATCAACGTGGAGGTTCAGCTGCCTGAGAAGGGGAGGGGGCCCGGACTGAGGCGGCTTCGGAGCATGCGCTGTCCGCATCCCCGAAGCCAACACGCCAGCACGCGCCGCCCTGTGCCACCAGGTGCCAGGGCTGAGCACCCCTCCGGGGCCCTCATTCTCAGCTGGCCCTGCTATTCGAGTCAGAGGTTTTTGAAGGTTGAATCGCCACCTTCCTGTATTTTCTAAACAGTGCACGATGAGCCTGACCTACCTTGATGATGAGAGAGAAAACTACTTAAAACAGTTTGAGGACTTGTCTGTACCTGCTACAGATACGGACCCATGAGCCATTTCCACCATATTCGCCACTCTGGAGCTGCCGACAGGCCTTTGCTATCCTGCTGGCCATTCCTTCTTTAAAATGCCCTTCTTGATTTCCAGGACACGGGTCTGTTTCGTTCTCTTGTCACCTTCCCACCCACTCCCCTTCCTCGGCTCATTCCCAGAGCGCAGCCATAGCCCAATGCTTCAGGACTGGCTAAGCGTGCCCTCTCCGCCAGCCCACTCCAGCCCAACTTTCCTCTGACTTCCGGCTCCCCAGTTCCAACTTCCTACCTGGCTATCCTGTGTGTAGGAACGATTTTTAGCCAGCATGCACGGGCACTGCCTTACCATCTGTTGATTGATGGTATCCGTTCTGACCGTCCGGGCAGCCATCCTGAGCAATCCCTGTCTGTACTCTATTGGTTGTTAAGTGTTTTGAATAGCAGCCCCGCCTATGTGCCCCTTAATTTCAACATGTCCCAAACTGAACTCATCACCTCCCTCCCCAAATCCACCCTTCCTACAGTACCACATACAGAGAGAGGTCACCTGGAACTCGACCAAGATCTGTGGGTACTCCTGGCAGGCTCCTTAAAATGGATTTTCTTTACATATGTATTCTACTAGAGACAGGAAGAAATCAATTTTTCTGTTTAAAAGCTGGATACTTATTAATTTCTTACCATATAAGGACATTATGTATTATATTATAAACCAGACTACTTCTAAGGAACCACGAAAAACCATTTAAAATGTAAACGACAGTGATGGAAATACTCTGTAGACCATGGTGACATTTGTCAAAATCCATCAAACTGTACACCTAAAAAGAGCAAACTTTGCTGTATGCAAATCACACCTCAGTAAACCTGACTTCCAAAGTATAAATAATAAAATCGATCATTTCCAATAAACAGCTTTATACAATGCATTATTTGGTTCTGGAATTTCAGCTGATTACGACTGCTGACTTTGAATCACTTTTCACACACTGGTGTCACGCTTAATGGCTTTTTATGTTGCAAAATAACCAGAGGTAGCTAGAAAAAAAATGTTCCCGTTTGACATTATTTGGCTTGGTGGCAGGGGAGGAATGACTTGGTCACATCTCTACAGGAAATTCAAGGAGTCGATGTAGTAGAAATCATAGTTATCTGGCACCAGATTTCAGATTTATTCCATTAATTCTTTTGGCACCTCCTACGGTTTGGCACCTGGGCCACACCCCTCACCTACCCCTGGCTAGAGCAAAGGTTCCTGGATAGGAAGAGCAGCAGATGCTGCTGAAAGACAGGTGAGGGTCAGACCACAGAGGTCTTTAACTACTGGGCCACTCAGCTTGGTTTACCTATGGCAACCGATTTAAATGGGTCGATCCAATCAAAGTTGGACTTCTAGAGATGAGTCTAGAAGGACGCTCCATGTATCAGAGGAGGAAGAGATGAGAGCGAGGAGCTCACTTTAAAACCTCTTGCACATGCAAGAGTCAAAACCGAGCAGGGCCTGAGTAGTGGAGACTGGAAGTTAAGAGATGGTTCACAGAGACGGTTTTTTTTTTTTCTAGGCAAAGCAACGCTTGGTTGACCTCACAGATTGCAAGGACCTTGTCAGTTTACAATCCCTTATTTTTATTTCCACCTATAGCACCTGGTCTTCCTAGGTGGTCTCCCGAGTACTAACACAGAGACGCTTTAAGGAGAAACTGGTTCACAGAGACGGTTTTTTTTTTTTCTAGGCAAAGCAACGCTTGGTTGACCTCACAGATTGCAAGGACCTTGTCAGTTTACAATCCCTTATTTTTATTTCCACCTATAGCACCTGGTCTTCCTAGGTGGTCTCCCGAGTACTAACACAGAGACGCTTTAAAGGAGAAACTGACCAATTAGATAATGAGCCGGAATTAAGGAAATCTCGTCTTTTCAACCTGGTTGGGAGATAAAACAGCCAGTATGACCCTGAACATGTGATCACAGAGGAAATGTGATGCTTATTCTTATATCTTCTTACCCAGAAGATCGTTCCTTGAAAAACATCAAATTTCACCAATTCTCCTACTCACCTGTTTTCTTTCTGCGTGCTTGGTCTAGCCACAACTAAATCGGGGAAAGAGAGAGGGCGTCAGAAAGCATCTGAAGCATGACAAAAATCTGGTGACCCCTGTCCTCAATTCCCTAAATCCCCGAGTCCATAAATTAGAGGATGTTACAAGTTATGGTGGACTCCTACATTTCCCACGAGAGGCAGAGAGGAAATGAAAGGAGACCTAGAATGGAAAAGGTAAAGGAAGCAAATTTGAAATGGAGCACGGAAAACTTCCTCTGCTCCTAGCAGTAAGAAAGAAACACCTTCGCATCACCAGTTTAGAGAGAGCCAGAGATGAGACAAACCTAAGAGCAGCTTGCACCAAACGTCCCAAATCCCGTTTCAGTCAGCTCTAAGAAGACACGGTTAAGCGACACTTTAAAATGTAAATTACTGCTTTGAGTGGACTCTACTTACTGGACTCACACTCTTCATCACTGGAGTCCAGAATAATAACGCAACTGCAAAAATAAAATACATACTGTTTTAAAGGAAGGATACCGACATCATAAACATTCGAATGTCAAAAATCTCAAATGAAGAGAACCAACAATCGAAGTTTCTCAAATGCAAAAGAAGGTCTTAAGGGCTTGCGAAATTAAGATCGCAGTAGCGGAGGTGATGAAAAATCAGAAGCAACAAGCTGCTCAGTCTTTACTACAGAATCAGATGGGTACTCAAGGATGTCAGCTGACACCACTAACAGTGAACCGTTTTCTGCCAAGTGATTGATTTCTAGTTAAAGATATAAAAGTGAATTCTGAGGAAGAGGCCACTGGGAAAAGGTCTTCAGGATGAAGAGAATACAGTTAAAAAGGAAAAGGGAAAAAGGACAAGGAGGACAGCTCTTGGGGCTCTGCTGTTTGCAGAGGGCTATCTAGGGAAATGGACGAACGCTAGAGTCCATTTCTCAGGAAGCGCGCAAAGGGTGATTTCAAAGCTGCACCTGCTCCCTATGAGCCACGCTGCTAGGGCCTCTCGCTCCTCTGCCTCATAATGTGAGAGGCCCCGGCACTCATAGCCGCTCCCTGGCAGGCTGCCGGGCCTGCTGCTATAGCTGCGCGGTAATGCCTCAGGTGACACCAGGGCTGAGGTGACGCCAAAGCACATTCTGGCTCAGGATCCTTCAGCTCACCAGAGAGCACTGACTGGATATCCATCGTCAGCCATTCACGACCCACATCCGAAATGCGGCTCGGGAAGACATGCTACACTAAGCATGGCTTCAATGCTGGAACCGAGCTACGTCCTAGGACCTTACCGTAGGTAATCGTGTCATCGGTATTGTGACACAGGACTCACAGAGGATACCAAAAGTGCTAAAGAAGGTGGACATCATAGCTAGAAGGGTTTACATGTTTATATGGTTTTACATAATATTTATAAGGTTTCGCATGAATAGTTACAAGGCTTTACATATAAAAAGGCAGCCTGACCACCTCCTGCGGGCGCTGGGCCTTGAGCTTGATGACTGCTGTGCTTGTTTACCTTGTCGGTCTTTCACCACAGGCGCTGGCTCACTCCCTTGATTAAACTTCCTATCTATTTACCTATCAGTGGACACTGGTCTTGAGTAGTAATCCTCAAGTTGTTGTTTTTTTTTTAATCAGGAAAGAAAATTCCCGTAAGGTTTCCCAAGTATGGCTCAAAATGTGACCTTGCTTGTCTTGAAGCCTATTATCAATAAATAATACCGTGTAAAAACTAAACTCTACACTTCGTCTACTTTCTTACGCAAACACACATTTTTTTTTTTTAGAAGTCAGGCAAAAGGAATAAGGGATTGGAAACGTGACACAAAAAAGCTCCAGGACAGAAAGCCCCAGGCTAATCCTTAAAGATAAGATATTGTCCTCCAGGTTAAATAGTAATCAACAGGGAAAGTGGTCTGAGGAAAGTGCTAAGGAAGAGATCGGGGGTCAAAAAGGAGGCAGACTTTGTTAGGCGCCTTTCCCAAGTAAAACTCACCACCAGGGGGACAAGCCCAGAGAAAAGGTTTCAAGGCTCCTGTCACTGTAGAGAAAATATATGTACCCCGAAAAAGACAGTTGGCTTAACCAGAACTCTATCCTGAAAGGACGTGTAAATCACATTAGAAGCTTTGAAAATATATCAGAAACCCTCAAAAACTATTAAGTAAAAAATCCAAAGGTCTCCCTTTTTCAGCTGGGGACAGAAAACCATAAACATTGTGTATGCTTTTATATGACCACAGAGAAAGATCTAGAAGAACCAACACCGAATTATCGATAATTATTTTCTCAAAAGAAAAGGAGGGTATGTATGAGGGTGGACGTTCACCTTTTACTTTAGATGCTTCTGTACTGTTTATTTTTAGTGCAGGCCCACATTCCCTCGGTAATTTTTGAAACTCAATAAATATGTTATAATTATATGACGGGCACACCTGTGTTTCATTCATTCATTCATTCGCTCACTCATTCAACATTTATTGAGCATCTGCAACAGCCAAAACGCTAGGTGGCTTATGGGCTTTTCTGATCCGACTTTTTAAAACTAAGTATAACAGGGTAATTTTTAAAATATGATATTTCTGCATGTCACCGAGGCTACCCTGGTGGTAGTAGTAACAAAATCAAAAGAATCTTGGACTAAAAAAGACTGGCCAGTGGGCATCAGAAAGTCCTGATTAGGCTTTGACTCATCGATGAGAAGCAGGCCGCCACTCTTCGCTTTACGAATGTCAGCAGCACTTCTGCCTTCGAATTGCCAAGATGCCCCTCACTGTTAATGACTTTGTCTCATAAGTCACCGGGAAAATAGAAGCAATCACTCAGGAACTCCCTCGTCCTCCCACCGCCCTATTTGTAACCACACCTGGCTCTTCTTGTTCTGTCCTCAAGGAGCGCAGGGGCCCTACCGCGACCTAAGGCCAAGCTATCCCTTGTCCTTGGGACCTCAGCGGCCTCTAGCCTTCTCAAGGATTTTACTCCTGCAATTTTCCATCCTGAGCTGCATTACTGTCCCCTCTCTCCTGGGTCATCCGCTGTCCCCCAATTCTAGCTGTCTAACATCTTGGACCTCACCAAGTATATAAAACATAACATGGCCAAGACAGAACTCTTGGTTTCCTCCCTTGGCCCTATTCCCACACTAGTCTCAGCCATCGCAATCAATGACACCAGGAACGTGAACCAAAAACTCAGGCGTCATCTTTGATTTCTCTCTCACACCTCCCACCTCACATCCAATCCATCAATAAGGCCTGTTGGCTCTACCGCTAGAGCATATTTCATCTCATCTAAAACATCATTATATGTACTTCTAAGAAAGAAAAACACTATTAAATGATGACCTGCTGTCGAACACATGACGTATCCCAATTTCGGAAATGCTGAAATGTGAAAAAATGTCTCAGAATTGAGGTACAATATAGCCTATATTTACCCAAATGTCTCCAACTCCACTATTACCGCCCGACTCTAAGCCACCATCGCTTCTCAACAAACTTCTGTCCATCTAGTCCTTGGGCCTCACTTGTGAAAGAACCATTAATCCCATAGGGCTGCTGTGAAAATTAAACGAGATCACGTGTGCCCTCCTACAGGATCATGTACTTCGGTGCTTATCGCATGATACTGTACCTGCCTGTTTACATGTTCCCATCTCCCATCCCAGACCGTAAGCTAAGCAAGGGTTTGGAGGCATGTCTCTCTCACACTGTCCAGTACAAAGTAGTCGACAAATATTTGCTGAATAAATGAATCTCAAAAAGTGGTTTCAAGGACCCCTTTTAATATATTCCACCCTCCCAACCTACGCCTGCATAGCGCCTTGTTTTTTGAAGGATTTCTGCCTACATTGTAAGTTATCATTTTCTCTCTTTAGAAAATTAATTGCATACACGTGCCCACTTGTGCAGGTTTGAGATATAGAGATGGGCCAAAGTAAAAACGAACGAACAAAAACCCAACAATGATGTCTGCATTAATGAAAATACGATGCCCAGACCCAGAGCAGTGTTGGTCCCGCCTCGCAGCAGGTGTGGGTGGGGACACCGGCAGGTCATTGTCCAGTCTCAGGGTGATCTATCCAGGACTTGGGCTCGCACCTGTAGTTACAGGAACTCGAGTTTCTCAATTCTTCATCAAATGCTAGAAGAGCGATTCCCCTTAACCAGATTTGTGAGGGGCTGACTGATAAACCAAACCAGAGTGCCTGTTCGCTTCTCGGAACTAACACCAACCATGTTCCCTGGGCACTCCCCAAAACAGGGCAAGGGACTAAGGGTCATGGAGAGAGCTGGGATTTTACTTTGTGCATTTTTTTTAATCACACACACGTTAATTTAGTTGAATGTTGCAAGAAGCATCTTTGGGCATCTAATTACTTTCATGAATTAGATTTTTCCTAGGATTGATTCCCAAAAGTCAAATCACTCAAAAGTGTGACCAATTTTATAGCTCTTGGTACATTCGCTTAATCGTTGCCAAAGGGCAGTATCAGTTTACAATGTTAGTAACACTGCTGTAATGGAATTAAATATTTTTGATTTGCACATTTAATAGGTAAATAATTTTTAAATTAGTATTTCTCTTTATTACTTAAGTTATATATTTTCCCAATGCTTTTTTGCTGCATTCTTTTGCTAATCCCTTCCCATTTTAATGACTATCACAAAATGATGTTTACCAGATAGTTTTGTGACTGATAAAGAACACTGAAAAAGGTGAAAACTTTGTCCCTGTTTTACCAACAGTCCCACTCCCCAAAGATAAACAGCGTTATCTTATTTACTGTTCTAGAAAGTTCTTAAGCATAAGCATGTACCAGCCAGCATAAATCAAGTGCACACTTTTTAAAAACAAATAATATTATGCTACATGAATTTTTCTGCGGCTTGCAATTTTTTACTTTCTGTATCTCATTTGTCTCTCTTTTATCGGTACATATAGTTCTTAACACATTTTTTGGATGAACCATAATTTATTCAACTATATCCTCAGGACGTTTAAGCTCCTTCCAAATTTGTGCTGTTACAAACAATGCTACAGTAGACATCTTGGTACGTGTTTTTCTGTATACTAGTAATTAAGTCATACATCTTTCTTCCACAGAACTGAACAAAGACCGAAACAGCCTGAGTCTACAGATAATTAAATGAACAGGAGTTACCGGGAGAAGGGACGTGGGAGAAGAGGGAGAGGAGTCTAGAGAAAACGTGAGAACTACAAAAAAAGCATGTATGATATAACCACATTTGTGCACCGACATGTTATAAGTATACAGAAATTAAAATTGTTCTAAAAGTAAAAAAGGTCCTGGTAGAATTACTAGGTCAAAGGACATGTGCATTTAAAATTTTGATATTGTCAA